CAGCCCTATACTTTTTAATCATTATTAGAGAGTATAATCCTCCTTGATCTTTTTCTTGCTGTGCTGGGCATCCTAAGCAAGCACTCTGCCCCGGGCCACACCCAGCCAGAGGTCATGTGCAGTTGTTACTGCACACTGTCTAGGTTTGTGCAAACACACCTGTGCTGTTCTCATGTGAAAGGCACACCTGACCTATAAACCAGGAACCATGTCTGCTGCCACACAGGAGCTAGATCCAGGCCTGGCCTGCCCTTTCCCATCTTCACTTCGGAACCCAGTATTTGATGGGGGGAAGGAGAGAGAGTGGTAGGTCAGCGTCTGCCTGTGGAGATAGGAGAGGGGCTAGGTCTGGGGCTGGGGTCTGGGGGAGTCCTCTGGACCCCCTATATTCCATCTGATTCATAGCCTTCCCTGCTCCCACCTCTAATCTGCTGGGCTCTCGTTCTATTTTAAGATGTCCCCCACTTCCTTCCTGGTCAGCAGGAACCTACTTCCTGACCAGGTCTCTCTCTCTCTCTCTCCCTCCTTTCCTCTCTCTCTCCTTTCTCTTTTTCTTCTCTCTTCCTTCTCCATTCTCTCCTTTCCTCTTTTTTTTTTTTTTTGGCCAGTCCTGGGACTTGAACTCAAGGTCTGGCCACTGTCTCTGAGTTTCTTCTTGTCTCCTCACTCCTCCTCTCTCTTTCTTCTCTCTCCCTCTTCTCTCTTCCCTCTCCCTCCTTTCTCCTTTCTCATCCCTCTCTCTCTTGTCTCCTATCTTCCTTTCTTTCTTTTCTTTCCTTCCTCTACCTATCTCTCCTTTCTCCCTTCCCTTTCCCCTCCCTCTCTCTCTCCTTGAAATAATCAAATCTCCTCCTCCTGCTCTTCCTCCTCCTCCTCCTCCTCCTCCTCTTCTTCTTCTTCTTCTTTTGCCAGTCAGTCCTGGGTTTTAAACTCAGGTCCTGGGCATTGTCCCTGAGACACTCTGTGCTCAAGGCTAGTGTTCTACCAACTGAGCCACAGTGCCACTTCCAGCTTTTTCTGTTTATGTGCTACTGAGGAATCAAAGTCAGGGTTTCATGCATGCTAGCACTTTACCACTAAACCCCATTCCCAACCCCCAGACATCAATTCTTTTTTTAAATTTTTATTTTTTTATTTTTTTATTGCGAAAATACTGTACAGAGGGGTTACAATTACATGGTCAAGATAATGAGTACATTTCTTATCAAGTATTGTAGCCTCCTCCTTTGATTCCCCTTCCCATCCTTTCCCATCCTCCCTACCCCCCAAGCCTCCCCGCGGCCCCCCCACCACAGACATCAATTCTTTTTTTTTTCCCCCAGGGCTGAGGACCGAACCCAGGGCCTTGTGTGCGCCAGGCGGGCGCCCTTCTGCTGGGCTAAACCCCCAGCCCCCACAGACATCAATTCTTTAATCCACAGTGTCTTCCAAGAAAAGCCTCCCAACTTCCAGAATGGACAGGAGGGGCTGGGAAATGGGGCTTAGTGGTACAGTGCTTGCCTAGCATGCATGAAGCCTTAGGTTCAATTCCTTAGTACCCATAGAAACATTAAAGGCTGGAAGTGGTGCTGGGGTTCAAGTGCTAGCCTTGAGCAAAAGCAGCTCAGGGACAGTGCCCAGGCCCCAAGTTCAAGCTTCAGGACTGGCAAAAATTAAAAATTAAAAAAAAAGAATGGACAGGAGGTGGGGCTGTGTGGCAGCTCACCCTGGCAGAGGTGGGCAGATCTGAATTCTGGAGATGCTTATCTACATCTGCATTACATAGGAAGAACCCCATCTCTGGACAGAATGCACAGAAGCAGAAACAGCCAGGTCCTGAAAATCCCTTAGTAGAAGGTAGCTCCCTAAAAATAAACTTTCTCCCCTGCTTTTTTTTTTTGGGGGGGGGGTCTGGTCATGGGGCCTGAACTCTGGGCCTGGGCGCTGTCCCTCAGCTATTCAGCTCAAGGCTAGCGCTTTACCACTTGAGCCACAGCGCCACTTCCGGCTTTTTTTCTTTTTGCTTATGTGGTGCTGAGGAATTGAACTCCAGGCATGCAAGGCAAGTGCTCTACCACTGAGCCACCTTCTCAGCCCTCGCTTTTTTTTTTTGGTGGGGATGACCAGTTGTTTCTGTGATTTGAGCTCAAGACACTTGCAAGGCAGGTGTTCAACTGCCTAAAAAACATCTCCAGTCTTTTCATTTTGCTTTAGTTATTTTTTTGGATAGGGTCTAAAGTTCTGCCCGGGGCCTAGACCTGGACTTTGGTCTTCCTATCAATAGCTCTCATATGGTTGGGATGTCAAGGATATGAACCACCATGTCTAGCTTATGTATTGAGATGGGGTCTTGCTAACTTCTTGTTCTGATTAGCCTCAAACTACAATTCTCCATATTTCTGCCTCCTGAGTAACTAGGGACTACAGGGGATCATAGGCATGAACTACCACTTATAACTATATTGTCATCCAGTTAATAGGAAGCTTGAACTAGGATTCTGTTAGGTCTGCCTGGGGAAAAAATGATTGGTTACTAAACCTGTCACTTCAGTGCCTGGGACTGGAAGTGTCCTGTGACCCTACCCCATGAGCAGATCTAATTTAGGTATGGAACAGCATAGGCAGGAAGCTGCCATGCCACGTGTCTCCATGATCCTGCCCTGTGTCCTTTCCTGGCTGGTCTCTAGTCATTATGGCATCCCAATTTAGCTCTCCATTGGAGCTGAATTGGTTTATTGGAATTGTTTTTGTTCTTTCTTTCCTCTCTGGCCTGTTTCCTAACTGTTTTATATGTATTTGAGGGCTGCAGTCCTTTGTAACAACTGGCTGTCTGTGGCCTGCAAACTGTGTAATAAAGACTTCAATATTCCATTTCCCAACATGTGGCTTCTGACATAATTCAAGTTACAACACTAGCAACTATGGGAAGGCTAAAATAGGCTTATCAGGTTCAGGAACATACTTGGTTACTATATCTCTAACCATCAAAGCCAGACTGGCAGTGTGGCTCCAGCAGCAGCAAGTAAGCAGTACAAGTAAGAGTGTGAGGTATTGAGTTCAAACCCTGGTACTGGCAGCATGCATGCATACACACACAAGGCAGGAAACAGGTGGCTCACCTGTAATCCTAGCTACTCAGGAAGCTGAGATCTGAGGATTGTGGTTCAAAACCAGACCTAGCCAGGCACAGGTAGCTCACACGTGTCATCCTAGCTACTCAGGAGGCTGAGGTCTGGGGATCACAGTTCAAAGCCAGCTCAGGCAGGAAAGCCCATGAGACTCCTAATCTAGTTAAGCACTGGAAAACCAGAAGTGGCGTTGTGGCTCAAAGTGGTAGAGTGCTAGACTTGAGCTGAAGAGCTGAGGGACAGTGCCCAGGCCCAGAGTTCAACTCCCATGACCAACAAAAAAAATCCCAAAAAACAAAAAATAGAAAACAAAAAAACAACCCAGCCCTGGCAGGAAAGTCCATGAGATGAGACTCTCCCTTCTCTCCCCTCCCCCACATCATGGGGCCTTGAACTCTGGGCCTGGGCAATGTCCCTCAGCTCTTCAGCTCAAGGCAAATGCCCTACCACTTGAGCCACAGTGCCACTCCCAGTTTTCTGATGGTTCATTGGAGATAAGAGTCTCATGGGCTTTGCTGCCTGCTCTGGATTTGAACTGCAATCCTCAGATCTCAGCCTCCTGAGTAGCTAGGATTACATGCGTGAGCTACTGGCATCTGGCTCAATGCTACTCATCTCTAGTTAACCATCAAAATAAGATGGAAGTATATTTGTAGCTCAAATGGTAGAGTGCCAGCCTTGAGCAAAGAAAGCTCAGGGAGAATGTCCAGGCCCTTAGTTCAAGCCCCAGACTGGCAAAAAAAAAAAAAAGCAAAATACCCACACCAAATGAACAAGAATTAAGACAGAAAGATAGTGTCCTTACCAAAAGTGTCCCTACTCAAAGTCTCATGAGGCCTTCTTCCATCTTTGTAAGATCTATTACAGCCTTGGGAATTATCCTCATTCTTTGTGCTAATTCATCCATTGAGTCATCTGGCAGCATGGAGAAAAGTTGAGGACACAGTGGTGACGAATATATGGTCCTTGCCCTGGGAGGATGGTCTAGTTAAAAGTCAGGAGAAAGGGACAATAAATTAAAAAAAAATCAATAAAATGGTTGTGGTGAAGGACTGCAAGGTAAAATGAATAGGGTGAGGCTGGGTGTGGTGGTTTACAACTGTAATTCCCACTACTCACAAGTTGGGAGTATGGAGAATCTGTTTTAGTTTAGCTCTGGCAAAAACATGAAATGCTATTTGAAAAATAAAACACAGTTGTGTGCTTATGGCTCACACCTATATTTCTAGCTACTCAGGAATCTGAGAATCAAAATTTGAAGCCAATCCAAGTAGAAAAGTGAGATTCTTATCTCCAATTGACCAGCAAATGCTGACTTTCCTGATTAGGCCTCCCAAAAGAATACTAATCTTCTTTTCTTCTCTTCTCCTCTTCCCCTCCCCCTCTTCCTCCTCTTCTCCTTCCCCTCCTCCTCTTCTTTTTGGTGTCCTTACTGGGAATTGAATTCAGTCAGGGTCTGGGTGCTGTTCAGAAAGTTCTTTTCCTGGAGGCTAGCGCTCTTGAATCACAGTTCCACTTCCGACTTTTTTTTGGTAGTTTATTGGACAAGAACTTTCCTACCCAGGCTGGCTTCAAACTGAGATCCTCAGATTTCAGCCTCCAGAGTGGTTAAGATTACAGGCGTGAACCACCGGCTCCAGACTTTCACTCCCCAAAGATTTTTTTCTTTCGTACCTAACCCTTCCACACTCCTCCAATCGAGTTCGGCTTCCGAACTAGTGAAAGAAGTAAGAATAAATGACCTCCGAGGGCAGACTCCGCCCATCGCGCCAGACCACGCCCCCAAACAACTCCCGCCCCCATCCCAGTTCCCACTTTCGGAGTGTCCAGCGCGCCTGGCTTCTCGCGCATCTCGCGCGTCACTTCCGGGGCGGTTGTAGAGCGAGGCTGATTTCCGCCCGCAGGTTAGCGGCGGCGGTGGCGGCGGCGCAGAAGGCTGGGCCTTTGCGCCGCGGGGCCGACGGACGCACCGGCGGGTCTCTGGGAGCCATGGAGCGTGGTCCCGGGGCCGGGGAGCGCGGGCCCGGGTGGTGAGTGGCGGGCAGGGCGGCGTAGGTGTGGGCCTGGCCGTTTGGGAAACCATGCCCGGTCGCGCGGCCGGCGCAGCTGGGCTGGATGTCCCTAAAATCCACGCATTCCCGGGAAGGCCGCGGGTCTTGCCCGACGTCCCCGCACTGAGGACTAGGACGCGTCGCGACCTGCAGCCAAGCCTTGGCCTCCGCCTCCCAGCCCTCGCTGTGAGGCGACCTTCTATCCTTTTGGGGACGTGGCCCTGGCTTGGAGGAGTTGTCCCGGCCGAGCCGCAGATTGTTTCTGTCACCCATCCTGGTAGTCGGTCTCCTTCTTCCAGCCCTCTTCGGCATCTTGCGCCCCTTGCCAGGCTCTTCCTGTGGGCTGGTACCCGGCGAATCTGCTCTCGAGCCTCCAGATCCAGTCTGTTTCTCTAGGTGCAGCTAGAGTTCACTCCACAGCCTTTCACTTTGCATCTGGGTTCAGAACTCCTCCATAGCTGTTTCGCCCAGGATGAGGTACTGACAGCAGCCGCGCTCAGGGGTGCTGCTGAAACAGACCCTGGTTTCTTCTGGGACCTCTCTCTTAACCTTTTGTGCCACTGTGTTCCCTAGTCAGGAGCCTGCAGTTCTTGGAATTACCTGCCACGTCTGGGTTTAGCCCTTATTCTTCCGCCTGTCCGTTCTTCGCACCTAGCCACTCCTTTGCATCCTTCTGCCTGTGCCTTCCTCCAGGAAGCTTTCTCACTGGCTGGCTGAGTGAGGTGCCATCACAGCCCTGCATATGTAGGTCGTCTTAGTGTTAAAGTTGCCTGAGTGCTTGTTGGTCCTCTGAATGCCAGTGGTGATGTGGGGCCTGGCTGAAAGGACGCCCAGTTATGTGCTGGTGGGCACCAGGGTTCTGGGGTGCACTGCCCAGTTTGACTCTTTAATGGGATGTAAGAAATCTCAGATGTCTGTGGTCCCCTAAGAAGACACCAGGACCCCTCCCTTTCAAAGTTACAGACCCAAAAGGCTTTCCCTTTTCTCTTGCTGTTCAACAAATTACTGCAACCACCTGCTTGGTGGTTGTAGTTGAGGGGCAAGGATCTGTTTGGACATGGGAGTTGGCAACCAATGCTGTGGAGATGAATCTGGAATTATTTGCTCATGTGTAGGGTTAGCCTGACAGAATACAGAGTAAACAGGCACACTGGACCTAGGATTGGACCATTGAGCAGATCAGTGAGGCCGGGAGTGGCTGTTCTGTGTGCTGGTTGTTCTGAGTTGATTTCTGTGTAGCTAACAGGAAACTGAAGCCTTGAGGTAGGAGGGGGTCTAGTACAAGATGAGTGAGACCCAGAGGTTGTATGAACTGGACTTAAAGTCTAGCAGGATGTGATCTTTTTCTTTCGTTTTCTTTTTTCCTTCCCTCCCTCCCTCCCTCCCTCCCTCCCTCCCTCCCTTCCTTCCTTCATGTTGTTGGTTGTGGGGCTTGAACTCAGGGCCTGGGTGCTGTCCCTGAACATTTTACTCAACTACTTCCAGTTTTTGAGTGGTTAATTGGAGATAAGGGTCTCACAGGGACTTTTCTGCCAGGTTTAGCTTTGAACTGAGATTCTGAGATCTCAGCCTCCAGAGTAGGTAGGATTACAGGTGTGAGCCACTGGCACCTAGCGATCTTTTTCTTTTCTTTTTGGTAGTACTGGGGCTTGAACTCAGTGCCTAGGCACTATCCCGTGTTTCATAGCTTTTTTTTTTCTTTTATCTTTCGTGGGGCTTGAACTCTAGACCTGAGCTCTGTCCCTCAGCTCTTCAGCCCAAGGGCTAGTGCTCTACCACTGGAGCCATCGAGACACTTATGGGTTTTTGAGTGGTTTATTGGAGATAAGAGTCTCATGGACTTCCTGCTTGGGCTGGCTTTGAACCATGATCCTCAGATCTCAGCCTCCTGAGTAGCTGGGATTATAGGCGTGAGCCATCAGCGCCTGGCTCTCACAGCTTTTTGACTCAAGGCTGTTGTTCTACCACTGGGGCCACAGCTCTACTTCTGGTGTTTTGCTGGTTAATTGGAGAGTGCTTAATTGAAGTCTTGTGGACTTTTTTTTTTTTTTTGCGCTGGTCCTATGGCTTGAACTCTGGGTCTAGGCTCTGTTCCTGAGCTTCTTTGCTCAAGGCTAGTGCTCTCCACTTGAGCCACAGCTTCACTTCCGCCTTTTTTATTGGAGGTAAGAGTCTCATGGACTTTTCCCGCGTGAGTTGGCAATCCTCAGATAACAGCCTCCTGATTAGGATTATAGATTTGAGCCACTGGCACCCAGCTTCTCATGTACTTTTCTGTCAGAGTTGGCTTTGAACCACCATCTCAGATGCTAAATAGCTAGGATTACAGGTATTGAGCCACTGGAGACTGGAGGAGATATGATCTTCTTGAGAGTAGTAAGAGGCCACAGAGTATCCAAAAAGAGAGGTAGAATAATGAGGTTTGTGCTGTGGGCAACTGTGGAGAATGGGCTCAAGTGAGGTTATGCTGATAAAGAGAAGACTAAAGAGAGCTGAGAGGCTGGGAATGTGGCTTAGTGGCAGAGTGCTTGCCTAGCATGCATGAGACCCAAGACCATATAAACATAAAATAAATAAATAAATAAAATTTAAAATAATGAAACAAAAAAGCTGAGAAGTACAGAAATGGAGGTGGAAACCAGGTGGGAATGGTGGGAAACAGTCAGCAAGCCTAGGGATTTACGGAACTGAACCAAGAGGGTGGAAATTAGTGTTAAGAGTTGATACTTGCCAGGTACCTGGGGCTCATGCCTGAAATCCTAGCTACTCAGGAGGCTGGGATCTGAGGATCCTGGTTCTGAGCCAATCCAGGCAGGAAAGTCTGTTGAGACTCTTCCCCCACCTCCCATCCCCCTTTCAGTCCTAGGGTTTGAACTCTGAGCCTGGGCACTGCCCCTCAGCTCTTCAGCTCAAGGCTAGTGCTCTAACACTTGAACCACAGCACCACTTCTGGTTTTCTGGTGGTTTATTGGAGATAAGAGTCTCACCGAGTTTCTTGCCCAGGTTGACTTTGAACTGTGATCCTCAGATCTCTACCTCCTTAGTAGCTAGGATTACAGGTGTGAGCCACCGGTGCCCAGCTGCTGAGACTTTGAGACTCTTTATCTCTAATAAATTACTCAAGCCTGAAGTGATTCTGGGGCCCCAGCTGTAGAGTTCTAGCCTTGAGCAAAAGAAGCTCAGGGACAGCACCCAGGCTGAGGTCAAGCCCTAGGACTGGCCAGAGAGAGAGAGAGAGAGAGAAGCAAGGAACCTAGGACTGGCCAGAGAGAGAGAGAGAGAGAGAAGCAAGGAAGGAAGGAAGGAAGAGTTGACACTGAGCAACAGCATCTCATGCCTATAAGCCTAGCTACTCAGGAGGCTGAGATCTGAGGATCGCTGCGGATCATAGTTCTAAGCCTTTTCTGCCCAAGCAGAAAAGCCTGTGAAATTGTTTTCTCCAATTAACTACCAAAAGGCTTGAAGTGGAACTCTGGCTCAAGTGGTGGAGTACTAGCTCTCAGCACAAAATGCCCAGGTCCTGAGTTCAAGATCCAGTATTGGCACTGAAAAAAAAGAAAAGAAAAAAAAAAGAGGCTGGGAATGTGGCTTAGAGTGCTTGCCTAGCATGCGTGAAGCTCTGGGTTTGATTCCTCAATACCACATAAACAGAAAAAGCCAGAAGGGGCTCTGTGGCTTAAGTGGGAAAGCACTAGCTTTGAGCAAAAGAAGCCCAGGTCCTGAGTTCAAGACCCAGGACTGTGTTTTAAAAAAAAAAAATTATAGCGGGGCACTGGTGGCTCACATCCATAATCTTAGCTACTCAGGGGGCTAAGATCTGAGGATTGCGGTTCAAAGCCAGCCTGAGCCGGAAAGTCTGCAAGACTCTTATCTCCAATAAACCACTCAGACAACCAGAAGTGGTGCTGTAGCTCAAGTGGTAGAGCGCTCGTCTTAAGCTGAAGAGCTCAGGGATAGTGTCCAGACCCAGAGTTCAACGGATAAAAAAAAAAAAAATTACACTCATGTTTTTGTTTATTTGTTTTTTGTCGGTCGTGGGGCTTGAACTCTGGGCCTGGGCACTGACCCTTCACTCTTCAGCTCAAGGTGAGCGCTCTACCACTAGAGCCACAGTGCCACTTCCGGTTTTCTGAGTGGTTTATTGGAGATAAGAGTCTCAGGGAAGCTGGTGGCTCACACCTGTAATCCTGGCTACTCCGGAGGCTGAGATCTGAGGATCTCGGTTCAAAGCCAGCCCGGGCAGGAAAGTCCATGAAACTCTTATCTCCAGTAAACCACTAGGAAAACCGGAAGTGGTGCTGTGGCTCAAGCTGTAGAGCACGACAGCGCCCAAGCCCAGAGTTCAAGCCCCACGACCGACCAAAAAAAAAAAAAAAAAGTCTGGGACTTTCCTGCTCAGGCGGGCTTTGAACCATGATCCTCAGATCTCAGCTTCCTGAATAGCTAGGATTATAGGCGTGAGCCACTAGAGCCTGACTACATTCATGTGTTTAGTTTTGGGAGGCTCAGAGGCCTCTTTCCTGTTTCCTGTCTCTCAGCCAGGCCTACCTTCCAGACTGTAGACTCCTCCAAGCTCACCTGCATACATGAGTGTTGCCTGATGGTCACTGACTTCACCCACTCCATACCACAAGCTCCCCAGTCATAACAATCCCAAGTGTCCCTAAGCATTTCCTAGTGTTTCCTGTGGAGGGGAAAATATTTCTTTTTTAGAACTAGTCTGATAGCCTCCCATAAGAAAAGTGCTTGAACATAAGATTTACATTCTACCTCAAAGTGGGATTCCTTGTTGCCTTCCTTGTATCTGCCCTGGCTTTCACAGTTCTGCTCCCTGTGTCTCCTTGGGTCTGACTGTCTCCAGCCCCTGACCTCACATCTCAGATCTACAGGGATTAGGTGTTTCTGAGCCCCTGAGCTGTGTCCATGGGTCTACAGCTCCTTGTGTACGTACCTACATGTGTTCCCATCTGCCTGACCCATGTCTAGTAGTTTTCAGATGCTGTGACCCAGAATCCAGTGTGTATGCAGGTGTTCTGTGGCTGATGTGGAGCTGTGAGCATCTCTTGCCCTCTTTCCAGTCTGGGAGCAAAGCATAATCAGCGAGTAGATCTTTATGGAACTGTTTCTTCATATGTGTTTAGCAGCTCTGCACTTGATGAAAGTTGTCTTGGCCACTCAGTTCTTGTCAGTTTGACATGTTTCATGTTGTCTTGCAGCTCTGAGCCAGGTCTCTGTCTACCATTTCACTCTCCTCTTCTCATGTACTCCCCTATGAGGCAGGTGAGGAAATGGCCAGGAAGGACCAGTGACTGGCCCAAGGTCAAGGTCATGGATAGAGCCCCTGGTCCCCCTGACCTGCACCTGCAATTCTGCCTGGCCTCAAGCACAGGGAAGAACTATTGTCTTTGTTCAGTGGGGCCTTCAGAGTCTGAGTTGTATCCTGTCTTTGTTCCCAGAGCTGTTGTTTGTTGTTTCCTCCGCTGGGCTCCTCTGTCTCTGGATACCAAGGGCCTGTGATCAGGCGCAGTGCCACAGTGGGATGAGATCCAGTGGGCACTTGGGTCCCTTCAGTCTGAGACTTGTGCCTGCCTCTGCCACTTGGTGGAGGCCAATGAATCCTTGCCTAGAGCTGGGCCTGGGGAAGGGACTGGGCAGCAGTGTGGAAGAGGCCAAGGGGAACAAAGCCTCCCTGAATCCACAGCAGAGACTGATGGATGGTGAGGCTGGAGTGGGGCAGGGATCTGATGGCCAGCATTCTCTGTAAGCCATACATGCTGACAGATGTCGACAGCCCCTTCTCTCCAGGGGATGGGGTTGGGCCAGACCAGAAGGATGAGATAAAGGTGTGGGGAAAGGCCAAGAGGATCAAGAATTCACAGGATTTGGGACACACCTTCCTATCTGTACAAAGTGGGGCCCCAGCCTCCTAGAAGGAACCTACATCTTGGTGTCTCCTGCAGGGTTACCCACTGCACAACGTGGAGACCTGTGGCTGTGAGGCTCCTGGGGGCTTTTCTTGGACCACGATGGGGCTGGGCTGCAGCCTCCTAACAGGGCTCTTGTCTAGGGCAGTAGCCCAGGAGGCACCCTCCCCACTGCCCCCTCCTCGGAGCACCCCTGCGTCTTCTCTGCTGAGCCAGGCCAGGTGGCATTGTTGGTGGGCTTCCCAAAGGAGGCCCCGCTTGGGGCCTGGCACCCGCCATGAACGGCCTGTCGGTGAGTGAACTCTGCTGCCTCTTCTGCTGCCCACCGTGCCCTGGCCGCATCGCTGCCAAGCTCGCCTTCCTGCCACCGGAGCCCACCTACTCGCTGGTACCTGAGCCTGAGCCAGGGCCTGGTGGGGCTGGGGCTGCCCCTTCCGGGTCCCTGCGGACTTCCGCTGGCACCCCAGGGCGCTGGAAGATCCACCTGACTGAGCGTGCTGACTTCCAGTACAGCCAGCGGGAGCTTGATACCATTGAGGTCTTCTTGACCAAGAGTGCCCGTGGCAACCGCATCTCCTGCATGTACGTGCGCTGCGTGCCCGGTGCCAGGTAAGAGGCAGAGGGTGCAGGGATGGGTGGGAGCAGTGCTGGCCCAGGGCACACTTGGCACAGTTGGATGTGGCTGCCTAGTGGGTCAAAGCAGAGATGGGAAGGGCATCCCAGTATGGTGCAGTGTCCTGTTCTCCCTCTTTTGAAACATCATGTCCCCTCCATGTGCAGCCACCTCTAGGGAGGCCCCTCAGCTCCTCCTGTGGGTCAGGACATGGAGGCCCAGGGGTGACTCCTCTTGCAGGCAGGCGAGGTACATGCAGTGGCCCAACCCCATAGTGGCAACCTTGCCACTTGTTCTTTTTTTCTGGACCCAAGCAGAGGCAGAACAACAGGGCCTTGCACAGACGGGCCCAAAGGGTAAGCTGGTGCTGTTGGAGGAATCTCATTGGGCAGGGCCAGCCTGACACTTACCCTTGGCCTGACCAAGGACAAGTCCTTGGCTGACTATAGGTTTCACAGGATGGCCACAGCCTCCTGTGAATAGGATTTTCCCTATTCATTTGTTGGAGGCAAAGGGACTTCTAGCACTCCAGGATACTGGTAGGCCTACCAGCCAAGCATTCTGGCCCCAATTCTGAGCCCCAGGGGCTATGTAGGCCCCTCCAGGAGAACTTGAAAACTAGAAGTAGCAGCTGTCCAGTGGGGCTGGAGGTGGTTAGTGGCTGTTACAGAGCCCTGAGCTCACTGGGTAGGGCCACCAGGATGGTCACAGTGTTCTTTCAGACAGGACCACCACAGTAGGAGGGCCTGCCACTCGGCTTTCTGGCCCAGATGGCTTCTTCTTCAGCCAGTGTTACTTGCCATTCCTTCTGGGAAGCTGGACAGCCTTCCTCACCTCTTTACTGGCTCCATGGCCTCTTTGGAAGGAGGAGGTGACAGGTGTTGTTGGTGTCCTTGTGGACTATACCCCTGCCCTCACTTGTCCCCCAGGTACACGGTGCTCTTTTCTCATGGCAATGCAGTGGATCTGGGTCAGATGAGCAGCTTCTACATTGGCCTGGGGACCCGCATCAGCTGTAATGTCTTCTCCTATGACTACTCCGGCTACGGTGTGAGCTCAGGCCGGCCCTCTGAGAAGAATCTCTATGCAGACATAGATGCTGCCTGGCAGGCACTGCGTACCAGGTGAGGGTCCCAGGCGGATGGGATCACCCTGTCTGGGTGTTCCTCAGGGAAGTGATTGCTTCCCTGGAGAGAAGTGCCACACAGAATGGAGGCGCATCTCTTGCAAGGATCCTTAGAAGAGGGTGAGCAGCTCTCCTGGGTTCTTGGGTCTATCCACAGGGTGGTGAGGTTTCTCCACCTGGCTTAAAGGCTGGCAGAAAGGTATGCATGACTGTAGAGCAGTGGGCAGGTTGGGCTTGCAAATGAGCCTGGAGGGTTTTCTGTAGCTTGATGCCTGGGTTAACAGGTATGGGCCCCAACTTAAACCTGAGGTCAGGGCTGGTCTCAACTATAGATTTCTCCTGTGGCTGATTTGCTCAGATCCTGCCTTCTTTGTACCTAGATCGTAGCTGTCCCCCATACTGCTCTCATGCTGGCTCACTGATGCAAATCCTATCCCTAGTGTCCACAGAGCATGGTGCAGTGTCATTGCTGCTGTGGGATGAGAATGACCTACCTGTGGCCTCATGCCCACTCAGAGGTGCCTGCCTTGGTCCTTCTGCCCTCCTGGCTCACCTCCCACAGGACTCAGATGCAGCTCTGAGAAGTCTGCTGCCCTGGTTGCCCTGGTGATATACCTAGCACTCCTGGTGCAAGTCTGGGAGTGGGTCTCCTGGCTCCACTCTGGCACTGAGGAACTGTCTGAGCTCCTCCACCTGTGGTGCTGGAGTATATGCCCTCACTTTTCTTGGCCCCTTTGTGTGCCCACTGCTTGTAGCATGGAAATCACACTTATTGTAGACTCAGCTGTCCTCCAGGGACTTTTCCCCTTGGCCTCACAGCTGTGAGTTGGGGGAGGTGAGAGGCTGGGACAAAGCTATGGCAGTTGGAGTGCTTGCTTTGGATGGTGACAGGGCTGGGTTTGTGCCCAACACAGTGGTGGCTACAGTGGCCAAGAAACCAGGGAGGTTGAGGCAGAACTGGGACCCATGACATCTGGGTCTGGACTAGGACTGGATGGACAAGGTGGTGGAGTCAGACTGCCCAGCATAGGCAGAGTGGCAAAGTGGGTGTGTCTGCTGGTTAGGAACAGGCCTAGATGGGAGATGGAGTCAGTGAAGTGCTGGGTGATCCCAGCCAAGGCAGGCAGGCTGCAGTGACCTGCTAGGGTAAGGAAAGGCTGGGGCACCAAAGTGTAAGCTGGGCTTGGCAAAGGTGCCTAGTGCCTGGAAACCATTACGAAGGGTGGGAGGAAAGGGCAATGGCATCTACTTTCTGCCATCAGCCTTGCAGTTGGTCAGTAATTGTACCAAACCTTGAATTGGGCACAAGGAACTTAGTGGACCTTCAAACTAGGTGGATATGGCCAGGACACAGTTGCTTAAATTCTCCACTCCCTGAGATGGTAGGGAAGAGGTGCCCTGAAGAAGCATGCCTGTCCCCTGAAGAATGCTGAAGTAGATTTGGTGTGGAGAGAGAGGCGAGAGGAGATGGGGTGACTAGGAGCAGGGACCCTGCACTGCAGTCCCTCCACTAGAGGTTCTCTCTGGGTCCTGTGATCCCAGTAGTCAGAGAAACCAGCACCCTATCCCCCTCTGTGGGGCAGAGGGGGCTGGGGGGAAGGATATGTGGGTCTTGGGTCTAGCCTTGTGTGCCCTGGGAGCTGCCTGGAGCCTGCTGACCTTGTTGACTCTGTCCTGGCTACCACCAGGTATGGCATCAGCCCAGATAGCATCATCCTGTACGGGCAGAGCATTGGTACGGTGCCCACAGTGGACCTAGCCTCACGCTATGAGTGTGCTGCCGTGGTTCTGCACTCGCCGCTCACGTCGGGCATGCGTGTCGCCTTTCCGGACACCAAGAAGACCTACTGCTTCGATGCATTCCCCAAGTGAGCGCCTGTTGCTGGGAGGTGGGGGTGGGCTGGGTGCAGGGCACTAAAGTCTGACTGTCCTGCCCCTTCCCTTCCACAGCATCGAGAAGGTGTCCAAGATCACTTCACCTGTGCTCATCATCCACGGCACGGAGGATGAGGTGATCGACTTCTCACATGGGCTAGCGCTATATGAGCGCTGCCCCAAGGCTGTGGAGCCACTGTGGGTGGAGGGTGCTGGACACAACGACATTGAGCTTTATAGCCAGTACCTAGAGCGCCTGCGCCGCTTCATCTCCCAGGAGCTGCCCAGCCAGTGTGCCTAGTCCACCGACTCGGCACCGCATGACCTGCTCCGCCCCACCAGGACCTCAGCAATAAGGTGGCTGCAGGACTCGTCCCCTGCCACAGCCCTGGGGGCTGCATGTGGACCCTCTGGTTGCCCAGGCCCCCCAAGCAGTGGGCAGGTGGCCCGGACCCTGCCCCGGCCCAGGGGCCACGGACCAATGTACAGGTGACAGAGCTATGTTCTCTTTTCCTTATGGAAACAAAAAGAAGACGTGAAAACAAAAATTAAAGGTTTAAGATTTTAGGGCTCCTGTCTTTATCATAGCTGGTGTGTTTTCCCGGGTCTTGACAAGCTACAAGACCCTGCCATCTGGAGGGCTTAAACATGCACCTCTTGTGCCTGTCTCTTACCTTCCTGAGGGGTAGGAATGGCAGCTCTGGGCCACTAGGGAATCCCTTCTCCAGGGCCACCCTGGGCTATTGCATTTCCCTCTGGGGGACCGGACCCTCGCTGTGGTCTCTGGCAGCTGCTCACCAGTCTTCTGGCACCATTACACACAGATGCTAGGTACCCTGGCTAAGCTGCCTTCTTCCAAGTGCAGAACTGAGGCAGTGACAGGCCAGTGCAGTCATCCCAGCTGGCCTGGGAACTGGTGGCTAGGCACACCTCTGCCTAAGACCCAGTTCTCCTTCTCCCACACCCTTTCCTCCAGGCACAGCTCAGGGCCTCTGAACCTCACCTTCCAGTGAGTGTGCAGTGGGTGTGCTGTGAGGTGGGCAGATCCAGCCTCCAGACCAGAAACCCCTTGCCTGCCTTGGCCCTGCTAGTAGCCCCTTTAGGGGTGGGTGTTGCTCCAGCCTGGGAGCCAGACAGGCTGACGTCCTGAGAGGCTATGCAGAAGTGGCATCCCAGCCTCCGGAAATGGAGGCAGTGGCAATGCAGCCACCCTGGGTGGGTGGGGAGGTGGCAGGTCCCGGTAGGTGGTAGTAGTTACTCCAACCTTTCCTCTGGGGCCTAGCGCCTTGCCCTTGCACCATTGCCTGGAGAGCCTGTCCTGTGCAATGGGGAAGTGCCAGGAGGGGGGAGCCGGGGTGAGGGGGAGGCACAGAAGCTGAGCCACAGCCTTTGAGCTACAAGTCTTGGGTGTCTCCTTAGTCTGGGGCCTTGGGAACAGAACAGCCCTGAATCAGGGAGGGTTCCCTCCTCCCCTCTGGCCTTAGGTCCTTTGGGCAGGCAGAGGTGCTGTCCCTGCGCCTGGTCTGTGCAGTGCTTTGCATGGCCCTTGTTTCCTCTCTCTCTCTCTCTTTTGGCCAGTTATGGGGCCTGAACTCTGGGCCTGGGCACTGTCCCTCAGCTCCTCAGCTCAAGGCTAGTGCTCTACCATTTGAGCCACAGTGCTACTTGCAGCTTTTTCTGCTTATGTGGTGCTGAAGAATGGAACCCAGGGCCTCATGCATGTGAGGCAAGCGTTCTACCGCTGAGCCACCTTCCCAGCCCCTTCCCCCGCCTTTTTTTTTTTTTTGCCTGGTCCTGGGGCTTGAACTCTGGGCTTTGGCACTGTCCCTGAGTTTCTTTTTTGCTCAAGGTAAGCCCTCTACCACTTGAGCCACAGTGCTGCTTCCATCTTTTTTGAGTAGTTGACTGGTGATAAAAGTCTCATGGACCTTTCTGCCTGGGCTGGCTTCAAACTGTGATCCTCAGATCTCAGCCTTCTGAGTAACTAGGATTACAGGCATGAGCCACCACGCAGGGCCCTTGTTTCTTGACATTTTTTCCTATCTCCAGTCTCTGTTTACACCCTATCATCCTCTCTGCTTGCTGACGTTCTTGCTGGGTGCTGTGCTTGCTCCAGATTTTGTTGTCTCTCTCCTCCCCACCCCCATTTATTGTTATTTTAGTGGTGCTATATAGCAGGATAATTTTGTTGTCTTTGGACACCATTTGAAAGTACTTTGCAGCAGGACCAGGATGGTTCATGCCTGTAATCTTAACTACTCAGGAGGCTAAGATCAGGAGGATCATGGTTCAAGGCCAGCTGGGCAGGAAATGTCAAAATAAGCAGCAAACAAGTAAGGCTGGAGGTATGGCTCAAGCAGTAGAGTGCCAAACTAGTGAGCGTGAAGCCCTGATTTCAAACCCCAGTACTGTCATTAAAAAAAATGGGGGGGGGGGAACCGAAGACGACAACGACATAAACTGCTAAAGAGCTGGGACTCCACCTTCTCTGGAGCCTGAGGCAGTGTTTGGTGAAATCTTAAACCAGACCCATTTCTTCTGTGGGTCACAGATAAACCAGTTTATTCTGTGCCAACATAGAAAGCACATACATCCTCATATGCTTCTGCCAAAGGTTTGTCACTTGGCTAGGGTTTTTTTTTTTTTTTTTTTGGGTCCGGTCGAGGGGCCTGAACTCTGGGCTTGGGCGCTGTCCCTCAGCTCTTCAGCTCAAGGCTAGCGCTCTACCACTTGAGCCACAGCGCCACTTCCGGCTTTTTTCTTTTTGCTTATGTGGTGCTGAGGAATCGAACCCAGGGCCTTAGCATGCAAGGCAAGCGCTCTACACTGAGCCACCTTCCCAGCCCCTGGCTAGGGGTTCTTTACAAAACCTGGAGTTCTGTGTTTGGACACAGACTGGACTCATTGCAATGGCTGCAGAGGATTTTAGTAACACTATAACTGATTTATCTTCTTCCCTAATAAAGAGGAATGCTCAGGTGACTATTCTTTTTCTTTAATTTTATTTATGTATATTTGGGATGCTTGGGGTGGAATCCAAGGCTTTGTTATCAGATGACATACTGAGCCACACTCTCAACCCAAGGCTGCATGTTATAGTTTTTGTACCCAACCATAAAATCGCTGGGTTTTATTGTATATTGTATGTGCTGTGTTTGTAGAAGTATATACACACTATTACATTGTGTATAGTGTTGAGTTATATAGAATTACATACACACCAGTTACATTGAGCACAATGTGGTTATATTGTGCATAGCATCTGACAAGTTATAATTATGTTTTCACAGTTACATTGTCCATGGTGACTGATAGGTTATGTTACAAATACTCATACATTACATTACTCATAATGACTGACAAATTGTGTAGAATTACATAGTTACATTGTGCATGGCATATGAATGTCATGTAGAGTTAAATACACATGGTTGCATTGTTCATACTATCTGATGAGTTATATTTCATTTGCCTAGTCTGCAATGTGTTTTGTAGAATATTTACACAAGATGTTCAAGCCCCAATGGTATGGGGCTTGAAATCAGGGCCTGAGCTCTGTCCCTGAGCTTTTTTTTTTTTGTCAGTCATGGGGCTTGATCTCTGGGCCTGGGCACCATCCTTCAGCTCAAGGCTAGTGCTCTACCACTTGAACCACAGTTCCGCTTCCAGTTTTCTGAGTGGTTTATTGGAGATGAGAGTCTCAGGGCCTTTCCAGTCTCTCCTGCCCTGGCTGGCTTTGAACCACACTCCTCAACCACAGTCCTCAGATCTCAGCCTCCTGAATATAGGTGTGAGCCACCGGTACCAGGCTGTCCCTGAGCTTTTTTACTTGAGCAGACCTTCATTTCTGGCTTTTTGGTGTTTCACAGACTTTCATTCCCAGGCAGGCTTTGAGCTATGATCCTCAGTAGCCTCCTGAGTAGCTGAGATTACAAGCATGAGCCACCTCTGCCTTGTGCACAAGTGATTTTTTTTTCTCCAGGACTTTTAAATCCTTTAAAATTTTTTTAAATTTTTATTTAATTTTTTTTCAGTCATGAGGCTTGAACTCTGGGCCTGGGCACTGTCCCTAAGCTCTTCAGCTCAAGGCTAGCGCTCTACCACTTGAGCCACAACTCTACTTCCAGTTTTCTGAGTAGTTTATTGGAGATAAGAGTCTTATGGATGGGGCTGGGAAGGTGGCAAAGTGGTAGAGCGCTTGCCTTGCATGCCTGAAGCCCTGGGTTTGATTCCTCAGCACCACATAAGCAAAAAGAAAAAAGCCGGAAGTGGCGCTGTGGCTCAAGTGGTAGAGCGCTAGCCTTGAGCTGAAGAACTGAGGGATAGCGCCTAGGCCCAGAGTTCAAGCCCCACGACTGGACCAAAAAAAATAAAAAAGAGTCTTATGGACTTCCCTGCCCAGGCTGGCTTTGAACTGTGATCCTCAGATCTCAGCTTCCTGAGTAGCTAGGATTACAGGCATGAGCCACCAGCGCCCAGCTTTAAATCCTTATTGATTAGCATTAGTGTGTGTGTGTGTGTGTGTGTGTATGTATGTAACATGGTTTCTGTGTTTTGTGTCATACTCAGAAATACTTTCAAGATGAATAAGACTCTTGATAGTTTATTCTAGAAATTCAGTGGGTCCCAGTGGCTCATGCCTATAATCCTAGCTAATCGGGAGGCTAAGAGCTGAGGATCACAGTTTGCAACTAGCCTGGGCAGACAAATCTGTGAGACTCTTATCTCCAATTAACCAGCAAAAAGCCAAAGTAGGGCTGGGAAGGTGGCTCAGTGGTAGAGTGCTTGCCTTGCATGCTCAAGGCCCTGGGTTCGATTCCTCAGCACCACATAAGCAAAAAGAAAAAAGCCGGAAGTGGCGCTGTGGCTCAAGTGGTAGAGCACTAGCCTTGAGCTGAAGAGCTGAGGGACAGCGCCCAGGCCCAGAGTTCAGGCCCTACGACCAGACCCCCCCCCCAAAAAAAAAGCCAAAGTAGGAGTGTGATTCAAGTGGTAGAGCATCAACCTTGAGCAAAAAATCTAAGGGAAATTGCCAGCCCCTCAGTTCAAGCCCCAGTATTTTTTTAATAGGTGTGTGTGCACATATATACACACACAAATTCAATATGCTCTTTCATATATAGTTTGACTTGTGTGCCAGTACTGGGGCTTGAACTTAAGTCCTGGGTGTTGTCCCTTGGCATAGTCCTCAGATCTTAGCCTCCTGAATAGCTAGGATTATAGGGGTGAGCCATCAGGTTGCCTGGCTCTATAGTTCCATTTTTTGTTTAGTTTTAGAAAGTAGTTCTGGTAAGGAACACAGTTTTGTTTTTTTTTGGGGGGGGGTCTGGTTGTGGGGCCTAAACTCTGGGCCTGGGCGCTGTCCCTCAGCTCTTCAGCTCAGGGTTAGCACTCTACCACTTGAGCCACAGCGCCACTTCCGGCTTTTTGTTTATGTGGTGCTGAGGAATCGAACCCAGGGCCTCAGGCATGCAAGGCAAGCGCTCTACCACTGAGCCACCTTCCCAGCCCGAGGAACACAGTTTTTTAAAAAAATTATTTAACTTGATTCATCCCCTGCCTCCCAGTTCT